TCTCGTAAAAATTCCACACATCGGATCTCGGTCTTTTAGGAGCTTTTGGTGTAGAATCGTCGCCACCGGATCTAGGATTAACATCGGGAGGATCGGTAGGAGTAGACCTGGTAGGAGGACTCATTTCAAAATCAGGAGATATGTTTCCCTTCATAATTAGATCCGGAAGCCATTTGATTGAAGAATTAGAGAGTATAAGAGATTATTAGAGAGTATAAGAGAGAAGTTGATGAGTTTTGGTGTGAGGAAAACAAATAAAAACTCCCCTCTATTTATAGAGGCATCCCCCTAGGTAAATGACCAAATATCCTCACCATATGACCGTTTTTTGACTATTTTCGAGGCAAAACGGTCAAAACCGCCAATTTGGCCGGACCGGGCCTGCCCGGCCAGGCCCGGCTTTTTCACGCAATGGTCACCTTAGGTGACCGTTGCGCTCGGGCCGAGCACCCTGCTGGGCTGCCCAACCCGATTATTTTTGCCCGGACGATTTTCTCGTCCGGGCTGAGCCTGGCCGGGCCTGGCGCTGACGAGACGGTCTGTACCCGGGCCTAAAACCCGGTCTGGCCCGGGTTTCTGAGGCAATCCCCGGCCGGGCTGGGCCCCGGCCGGCGGGTCATTTGGACAACCCTGATTATAATAATATGGTTAGTTATTGTGTTGATATGTCTTTAATATTTGTTCAACTTATCTCTTCTCCGGTATTTAACGTTGGAATGATGAGTGATAAAAATCCAATCAGAGCATTAAGTTGTGCATTTTATCACTAATCACTCTTTAAAAAACTAATATTTTTTAGAAAATTAAGAGTCTCCTACATTGGCACAAGAATAATCGTCACTTTCAGTGGATAGCAACAGAAAGCACTCAATCACAGAGTTCTGGCTCATGAACTAGCACAAGGGTCATTTTAACCACCATAAGCCACTGCTTAATGTGGATGCAATACTAACTGTGATTTCCTCCTCACTATCACTCTTGGTACTGAAAAATGCTCTTTTATATGGCATTGACCAAATTGGATGATTCACTTTATTCGTCACATTCCCAATTCATGTAAAATTCTATGATCAACTTATTTTAAAACATTTGAGGGAGAAAATTCATTTGGCATGCATGAAAATTTTTAATCCATGTATCTAGATATTTTCTTAATTTTATTATTGAAACAAAGCATGCATGATGCATAGATAAATGAGGAGCACTAGGGCCACACATTGGGACACACTCCCAACCACACCTCTCACCTGCTACAGTGCAGGGGGGTCCCACTTGAGATTTTTTAAAAAAATCTCAAGTGGGACCCCCCTGCACTGTAGCAGGTGAGGGGTGTGGTTGGGAGTGTGTCCCAAGGTGTGCCCCTAGTGTTTTTTTAGATAAATATCCTTAAAGTATGGGCTTTGGCACTCACAAAAAAATTTAGGGTAAGTACATAATGGTTAAAAAAAACTTTGGTAAAATTACTTCTAGCCCCTAACTTCCTTACAAGTATTCCGCCTACCCCTAAGACTTTTTCAACGCACCCAAAACCCCCAAAAGTAAAGCCATAATTCCCTGAGTCCCCAAAACACAAAACTCAAGACTCAAGAGTTTAAAATATGTGAAGACCAAAATATCCTTTCTCTCTCTCTCATGATGTTACTATGATAATTTAAAATGGGTTTTTGGGGAAAATTCTAGTTCCCTCCAAATTTTTCCAACGACATCGATATAGACGACGAAACTTTCCCGGCGTTCGTCATCGGCGGCGA